GGGATGTCTCTTTGAGCTTGGCCAATAATTTGAAAGTAATCCAGATTTTGTTTTTCCTGCAGGTTTAATGAAAAGTGAATGTTTTAAGTGGAGGAGTAAGACGTACATTGAGTTTGGAAGTATGACCACAGCAGCAGCAGAGCTGTGGAAAAATTCAAGGAGTTACTAAAATCTTTAAAACTCAATTGTTTAGAAATGAAGCACATGGCTTAAAAATGACTATTGGCACAGATGGGTGAGGTGCCATTCTCATCATGTACTTCATTAAACCTCTGCCATATGTCCAGTCTTAACTGTCCAGTAGTGTACCCAGGAGCATCCCCTGTTGAATGACCATCTTCACTGTTGCTCATCAGCACTTGTCAGTGACTTGGTGCTTGATTCTAAATTACTGGAAGCAGAGGTGAACTTCTGCCATAAACATTGTTTGGGATAGGTCAGAGTGCTTGGAAAAGGAGGCTGCTGAAGGAGATGATCTTTCTCTCCCATGATACTGCAAGCATCCTAAACTAAGCAGCTTTGACTTTCTTAAGGCTGAGCTGCTTCTCTCACGCTGGAGGAACAGAAGAACATCTGGTCTTAGCTACTGTTTTTCAACTGGATCATCTTGTGCCTCGCTAAAATGAATGAGAAACACATGCAAGCTGTATTTTCAAAAAGTTGTATTTCATTGATGCAACTAAAGTAGTGATTTTCACATGCAATTAGATACACAGATGTAGACAAGCAACAATTTACACACACACTACATCTCCAACGAGGCCCTGTGTACATTCCCATATGCTTTACACATGCGAAATACGCACATGGTGAGGAGGCATGGGAAAGTATTTACATGTGCAATTGTATCTTCCCACAGCAATGCCTGGGAATTAGAAAGGACTAAGTTAGACAATATTTTGGATGTAAAATCTGATGACACTTTCAATTCTGTTCTGCAGCCCCCACTATAAATAATTCTAATTATTACTTATGACCTGCTGCAACGGCACTTCCCCAGGAGCTTTGCAGATAGTACTGGGACTAAGAGCTCAAATAACCCCCTTGGTTTTGGAGTAGACATCAGTATCCAAAGCCCTTTAGAAACGGACTGAACACAGACATCCCCAAGACACTGATGAAGAGTGAAAAAAATGACGAACAACATTGTACAGCCAACCCAAAACGTACAGGAGATGCAAGTAAAGATCATAAAAAAGAAAAGCTTTTTTAATTATTTGTTTATTTTTCAACAGTATCACATCTTGAGTCCTTTTGGAAGAACTGAGGGAATGTACTGAAAAAGTAGAAACCAAGCAGAGGGAGACTTTACAGACCCATAGAATCCCAGACTGGTTTGTATTGGAAGGGACCTTAAAGCTCACCCAGTCCCAAGCCCCTGCCACAGGCAGGGACACCTTCCACTAGGGCAGCTTGCTCCAAGTTCTATCCAACCTGGCCTTTGGGAGAAGGTGAGTGTCCATGGCCATGTCTTAGCCCTTACCAGTGCTTGCTCTCCTGCAAGGCCCTTCCTAGGCTCTGTGTAGGCTCCCTCAATCTCAGGTCTCCAGGTGATAGGACATGAACATCAACTTTTTCTTCCTTCAACATGTGTGAAGGCAGGGTGTGGTGGGGATGAAGTTTTTGTAGTGGTTGCTAATGTGATAATAGGAGCCATTGATGGAAAAATGAAACATACTCCTAAGAAAATGGTTTTTGTCTTCTTATTATTCTATACAGATGATTGACTCTTTCAAACCCAGATTGGTCTGTGGGATGATCTAGGGTGGATCTGTAAGAACCACTGAAATAATCCAAACCCTAATGACATTAAAAGATGTGTTGGTTTGGGTTGTTTTTCAGCATATGCTGCCAAGTGACCTTGGAGCTGCCGTGGAGCCAGCACCATGAACTTGCTCATTGTACTGTAAGTCTTCAGTATTGAGTGGGCTGGGTTGTGGCACACTGTGATGAGACCATGCGGTGTCCTGACCTGTGTAGAGATCTGCAGCAACTGTGACCTTCCAGTGGCTGTTAAAATGAGCATTTAGGATGCAGAAGCATGCACGGTGTCAGCCATGTAGGGAGATAGCAGTAAGGACCGCTGCGGGCAAGACTATGGTCAGTAATAAGAGCTAATGGTAATCTTCTCAAAGCTGGGAGAAGGAATGGGATGGCCTGAAGAGGGCCCTTGGACAGGAGCTGACAAAAAAACATAGGAGAGGTTGGGGATGGGTGAGAGCAGGCTTCTGTGCGAGAGGAATGGGAACAAGTGGGGGTTGAGGACAGTGGCACCTGGGTTTGGAGGGTAGAGGGTCCATGAGTCACGCCCGCCTGAGTTTCCAGCTGCTGAGTGCTTAGATGTGCTAGTCCTTACACCAGGAATTACCTGCTCAAACCATGGCTGAGAGCTTGCAACAGGCTTTGCTTGTTTTTCTAAACAGATCATTCATGTGACCCCTTCAGTCCTTGTTTCTGTTAACAGGCCAAACAACTTCTAAGTGCCAACATACTGAAGAAGTGGAAAAGTTAAGTTTATAGAAGGGAAAAGGGAAGGAAAAGAAAAACAAAACCCAAGTTATTCCCACAATGTTTGCATTCCCATGTTTTAACCACAGTATTCCCAGCACGCGGATTTTTATGATGCATCTGAAAACTAACCACAATGCAAAAGAATAAGGAAAGCAAAGCAGGGATGGAGACATGGAGAGGGAAGCTGGGCAGTGAGGAGGAGGGAATAGCAGCAGTGCCAGGCTTTGCTGCCTGCCTCACACCCCCATCTCCTGCAGTTCCAGCCAGGACCTCCCTCTGCAGGTGACCCAGGAAGCAGCAAGTATTAAGGTTGGGGAGAGCTGTAAAATTAAGTTATTTAAGGGGGGTTAGTTCCCTATTAGCAGGTTGAAATAGCAGGGCATGACCAAAGACAGGACGAAAGCTGGGGTGGTTCAGCCTGGAGGCGAAAAGGCTCGCGGAAGACCTTAGAGCAGCTCCCAGTGCCTAAAGGGGCTACAAGAAACCTGGAGAGGGGCTTTGGACAAGGGCCTGCAGGGACAGGCCAAGGGGAATGGCTTTAACCTGCCAGAGGGGAGACTGAGATGAGCTCTTAGGCAGAAGCTCTTCCCTGTGAGGGTGCTGAGGCGCTGGCACAGGGTGCCCAGAGAAGCTGTGGCTGCCCCATCCCTGGCAGTGTTCAAGGCCAGGTTGGACACAGGGGCTTGGAGCAAGCTGCTCTAGTGGAAGGTGTCCCTGCCCGCGGCAGGGGTTGGAACTGGGTGAGCTTTAAGGTCCCTTCCAGCACAAACCAGGCTGGGATTCTATGATAAGTACCAGATACCTGCAGAAGACCTCAAGCCGGTTCTGCTGCTCACAGGCTGAACTCCTGGATGGCCTCAGGTAAACTCAGAAAGGTGTCTGCACTAACACTGAACTGTACTGGTCTGCCCGGGAGCTCCTCGTCTGACCCCGTGTAGTGCTGAACAGTAGCCAAGTGCAATGAAGTGTTTTCTAAGCAACTCTTATTTGTATTGAGGAGTTGAGACTCTCTGGGAAAATTTCCCAAATTAAATGGAAAACTAATTCCTTTAAGCCACCTGAGCATGACTGACATGACTACTGGTGAGGTGGCTGCCTGGAGCCACCACAGCCTGTCCTCTCTGCTCCGTGGGGCAGCTCAGCAGCAGTGCTTTATGAAATGACTGGGGTTATTGTGTGGCTCTCAAACGTCTGCTTGAGCCGTGGACCAGGGGGAGACTCTCAGCTGGCTGGAAACAGCATCATTTTCTCAAACCCAGTCAGGAGGTAGCAAAGTGCATCAGCTGTGAGTCAGGGCCGCTGTGTCCTGTGCAATTCTTCTGTGGCTTTTTGTATTACATTACTTTGGTTGTCATCTGGGGATTCTGATGCCTGTCCCTCATGGGTTTGGATCTAACAGCATGCTTTGCTGCAGAGAGCGGAGTACCAACGCAAGCACTCTGCACCATGGTCTAAAACAGCATCAGTATGATTTTTGTTACATTGCTGTCAGCCTGGCTTCTGTAAAGATTACAGACCTGCTGGCTTAACACACTGCATGTCCCCAGTGCAGGGGACAGCCATTGCTGAAAAGGCAGTCAGAACTATCATTCCAATTACAGGGAAGAGAACAGAGCCTTAGATTTTCAAGAAAGCAATGCTCCTACAGCTGGGGCTAGGTCATATGTTGCTGGGCATTGAATTAATGTAAGCAGGCTTTCAGAAGAGCATCCTGAACTTCCCAGATTTGCATTTTTCTGGTATAACCTGAGGGAATTGCACAGGTCCACCCTCTCCACCAGCATCACCATGTCTCCTAGCACTGAGACTGCAGTGCATCTGTTGGACAGCTGGATGTCAGGTGGCCTGCTGAAAGCCAGAAGGGACTTTGAGTGTATTTATGTATGTCGTGTGCCCAAGAGCCTGGCTTACATTTTTGCAGGGTAGATTGTCAGTGTATGCACACATTGAGTAGTACAGTATAGGCATCTCGAGTATTAGAGCCCCCAGGTCTGTGTGCTAGACAGCAGACTTGCAGTTTGCGCTCGTGTTTCCATCCCAGGCTAGCTGCACACATGCTTTGGGAGCATGCATCCCGATTCCCTCTGGGATTCCCTGTTAAAAAATACACCAGCTCTAACCATGTTTCACATCATGTGATGCTGCCAAGCACCAGGGCTCTGCAGGTTCCTGTTCAGGTGAGGTGAGTCCTGCCTCTGTTGTTGCTCCTGCTGGGGAGAAGTGTTTGAAGGTACTCAGTGTGATAGCCAGTACCAGCATGTGTATCCCTGCAGCCTGTTTCCCACCACAGCCTCCTCTCCAGACACAGTGATAGTCGTAGTCACTGAGCTAACAAAACATTGGCCCCAACAGTGCCCCAGGAGCCACTTCCCTGGGCAGTGAGTCCGTCCTGTGCAATGGAGCTCCTTTGCTCTCCAAGGGTTTTGTCAACACCTCAGTATTATTAAAATGTTGGTTTTAAAGTCAATTTCCTTTTCTTTTCTTTGTAGTTTATAGAGTGTTTCTGAAGACCTTCTCCCAGGCTAAAATGAGGATCAGTTCCAGGTTTGCAATCATATCAACAGTAGGATAGTGATTTATTTCTGAGGTGCCTGTGTAATTACCCATACCCCACACACACCTCCCATTCACACTGCGTTTCCTTGTAGCTAATGAGTCTTCCCTGAGAGGAAGAGTTGGTTCACTAAACTCCCATGCCTCTAAAATGAGCCCAGCCTCTATATAACAGTGTCCCAGAAGCTGTTAGGTCTTACTGTAAATGGGAATGGCTCATCTTTCTTAAACTGAACATTGCTGCCATGTTTTGCCAGCAGTATCATGTCAGCGTTCCCTCTTTTTCCCGCTGTTCCTGGTTTTGATCAAGGTGTTTATGGATTTGTTTTGCCGTTATAGGTTCTGTCATCTATACCAGCATACTGTCTGCATGAGGCAGTGTTTGGCGAGTGGTGCGGAGCTTACAGCCCCAAAAAGCCACTCCTGAAGGTTTGGTTATCTGCAGCCAACATGCGCTGATACTGGGAAACGTTTGGAGCAGAGGTTACGTTTTGAAATTATGAAGTGCTGGCTTTGGTACCAAGTTTAAGGTAAGTATCTTTGCCACGCAAGTATGGGATGAGCTTTTTCAACCTCAGACCACCTTTGGATATCTTTGTAGGATCACATTTTAGCATGAGCTACGTGAATATGGGTGCATCTATACATTACAGAGAGGTGATGCACAGCAGTACTTACCAGGGTTCCTGGAGGAGGTGGGAGGAACCCTTGGGTAGCCCATTAGAGCCACCAACTCACCAGTCCCATTTGTAGCTCATAGCCCAGCGCAGGGTTGGAAGTCAAAGCTGGCAAGTGGCTGGTGGCAGCAGTGCCCTGGGTCCAGCCGGTGGCCTGCCTGCATGCAGAGCAGCTCAGGGCAGCCTTTGAACTCTGTCTGAAGTGAGCTGTGCATTGGCCCCCAACCTAAATGAGAGCAGCCTGGAGACTGTTCTGAATTACCAGACAGCTGTAGCCCCAGAGGCAGCACACATCTGGTCAGGCTCACATCGGGGGAGCGGTGCTGGAGGTATTACTTTGGCTCTGTCTCACAGCTGGACTTCCCTTTACTGGGGTGATCTTCTCATGGCTGCTGATGCCAGGATTGGGCTATCAGAGCTGGAAAGTCATTTCCATCTTTTCTGGAAATAGTAATCCTGATGTAAAGTGTTGTCAGCCTCCAGGCCTGCAGTCAGCCCTCTGACCAACATGCCTTAGATAGGATCACCCTTCTCTCCCCAGCACCAGCAGCTCTCTTTTGGGTTCCTTGCCAAGGACCTGCCCCAACACTGGCTATTTTTCTGCCCAGGGTGTGAATCAAAACCAGCAAAACCACGTTCAGCTGAGCTCCAGGAGCAGCCTGAGTTGAGGCACCCTCTGCTGATGTCCATGGTGTTGTCCATCCTTTTTGCTGGATTTCTGGTGGAGGTCACCCAAACTAAGATCCCTTCGCAACCTTGCTTCCTCCCCTGCAGGGCTGTGAGGAAGGATCTTCTTTATGTTTAAGCTATCTAGACCCTAGGTACTATTCTACATCTGCTACTGGCTTTCCAGTTTAAAAGGTTTTAAGGTTTTTACATTTTGGAAATGAGTTTCTGAGAAAGCAACCAGGGGAAAACAAACAACAAACACACCACCAGTGCGAAGAGTCACAGCGCTGATAATGTCACTTCTTCCTGAAACAGGGCAGGAACAAAGCACACAGCAGCTCTGGAATGGAATGAATTCTGGTGTGGATACAAACCACTTAATTCACTTACCTGCAGGTAACTTAGCTACTCCTGAGGATGAAAACCTTTCTAAGGATACTTCCCGTCACACTATTTAGGTGGAGAAGGAAGAGCATGGGCCAGTCTGACTGGCAAAGGGCAGCCCATATGCTCACTGTCCCAGTGAGCCATGAAGCCCTTAGCTGGCACAGCTCAGTTTCCCCCTGAGAATTAAGCAATAACCAGTCTTGATGCTGGTTTTCTGCTCAGGAGGAAAGTTCATCTTTCCAATTCAGTGCTCCTGAGTATTCTGAAGCTCTCCAACTGGCAGGAAAATCACATGGAAGAAATGGACAGAATCAGGTTTGCTGTGTATTCAGATCAATCGATACTATTTTGGATATATAAACTAATGTATTTCCTTTTGTAAGCATAATTCTGAGCATCAGGTATGAGTTTTGGAGGTTAAATGTTTGGGATCTGGGAAAAAAAATGTCCCTACTGTTGCAGTGCTGACAATGTGACAGCCAGGCTACCCTCCCACATCAGCTCCAGATGTGCTCTAGAGATGCCGCTGTGAAAGCCTCCTGTCCCTAAACCAGGGCATTTCCAATGAAAGAAGTGTTCAGTTTTTACCTTCTCAGCTTCATCAAGTGGGAAACAGGATTGTTCACAGAAAGGCTGAGTTGCTGCCCACTACGCTCCACTCTGTCGTGGATTTTGAAAGATAAGAGAATATTAATTATAACAACCTTTATAGACGTATTTGCAAGATCACTTCAAAAATACTATACAAATTAAGTGTTTGCAGAGACAATATATTGTAAATGAACAGCAATAATGAGGAAGTGGCAGCACTGACAGAAGATACTGAAAATTTCAGAGTTTTGGGTGAGAATTTTTGACAAATCACATGAAAGCTTTTATTCTGCCACTCCAGGGGTGCCTTGGAAGTTGGGAGCTAGATGTTGCCATTTATAGAATCATAGAATCCCAGACTGGTTTGTGTTGGAAAGGACCTTAAAGCTCATCCAGTTCCAACCCTGCCATGGTCAGGGACACCTTCCACTAGAGCAGCTTGCTCCAAGCCCTGTCCAACCTGGCCTTGATGGCACTTCCTTGATGCCACTTCCAGGGATGGAGCAGCTACTAGTTCTTGGGTCAACCTGTTCCAGTTCCTCTCCAAAGCACTACATTCATCTCCCAGTTCTCTTCACCCATCTCCCAGTTTGTTTGGTTTGGGTTTGGGTGTTTTTTCCCTAGAATTGAGGCTTTTAGTTGAAAAAGGAACAGTTTCAGGAACTCAGTTTCCTCAGAAGATTGAGGCATTGTATTCTATCCATAACCCTTATTGCAGATGTTGATGTGAAACATCCACTGGGTTGCACCTGGGTTGCACATGGGACAAGGCAGTAAAGCACATGGCCCTGCAGGACACCCTTGGTGGAAGAGGGCTCATTTTGCCATGCCCATTTTGTATTGGCCGCCTTCCTGATGTGAACTTAACAATCTCTGCTGTTTATTTGACTGCATGTTTAGGGTTGAATGGAGCTCCCAGGAAATCTCCTACAATTGAGCTGACTTCAGCAGACCTGCCCAAGAGAGCAGAACTGGGCTGTTTGCATCTGCTGTGTGATGTTCTTGGAGTCCCCCAGATGAGAGGTGCTATGGAGGTATGGAAAAACTGGATTTCTTTTCAAGTGCTGGGGTGCCCGGGAGGGGGAGGAGGGCTGTGCATGGCTATGTCGGCCTGGGGAGTACAAAGTGGCTTCCCATATGGTCAGTTTTTAGGATTTCTCCTGTTTCAGATCTGCATAAATGGCCCACTCAAGGAGGCCCAACTATTGAAAACAGCTGACAACGAAAAAGGGGGAGGTGAACGCCAAGCAAGCAGCAAGTAAACTATGTAACTGAGCTGACAGATGGCAAATTAATGTTGTCAAATAGAAAGAAGTACATAAAGCTAAGGAGCACTATGACCAGATTGCTTTCTTGCACATGAAGTCTTTAATCATATGGATATCCTTGCTATTTTTACTCTAATGAGATTGGGAAAGAAAAATAAGACAGAGACATCAAATTAAAGATGAATTTGCTTTGAATCCACAAGAAATTGAAGCCCTTGCAGAAACAAGGAGAATTATTTGCCAGGCAAAATTAGTGTCACAGATGAACTTGTTTGTGCTTCTGAATTTTGACATGTTTATTTTATTGGTAATATTGCTGTAGCAAAAGAGAGTAATAGCCAGTGTAGGTAAGCACTCAAAGGAAGTCGAGCGAAAACTGATGTTCATGATGCTTTTCACCCTTAGGCAAGAGCAAAAAAACCCACCTAAACCCTTCCATCTACTCATTGGTTAAAGGAAACAACAAAGAAAGAACAAAGCAACATTTCTATTGTAAGATACAAATGGGACAAGTGGGACATAAAATAACTGTTTGCTCATTGTGAGTTTTATACTGAGTATATGAATTTACTTTTTTCCATGTATTTCTTTAGTGGTAAGTGTGAGGATGTCTTTTAATCAGCAGCCTAATGTGGGCTCTGACAACTGTTAAGGTATTCACACCTCTGATTAAAGGGAGAATCGGCCTGTATCTGAGCAAGGAGCTTGGTAAACAAATACATCAATCATGGGAAAATATCCCCCAGTATGTGTGTGGTCAGAGCAAGCCAGCCAAGGCAGTTAAAAGGAAGCAATTTTCCACAGTGCTTGGAGGTAGGTAATATAAAATAATCCATAATTAAGTTTAATCGTGGCTTATCAGACCTTTCTAGGACTGTGAGCATTGTGGTTAATGTTTCACATATTACATTTGCTATAAGCTTTCTCTGATGCCATTTCATTGATGCTAGAAGCCCATTTTGTTTGGAAGTGGCAGATGTAACAGCTCAGGAGGCCCGATTCATAGCTGATTGGGCTCAAAATAGCTGCAGCAAGCTCTGATAGTATATGGACTAGATCCTCAGCTAATAAAAATGGGTTTGCTCAATGGAGCCAGAAGAGCAATCCAAGTTACAGGTAGGAGCCTGGTGTAGCTCTTGTGCTGTTGCTGTATAATGGCCAGATCCCAAAACCTAAGTCTTCCTATTGACTTAAGCTAGAAGCTGCTACAAGCCCCTTGAGAGGACCGTAGTTCTTTTAATACAAGGGGAAGGTAGTGCCTGCTGCTTGTAAAGAGGCACTTACCCTTCTTTTATCCTGCATCAGGCAAGGAACAGCTTCTTAGGGTTGGACCTGGATGATAAAAGGTAGGCTTTCAACTCAAGATTATATATGGTAAAAATGTCATTGATAGCCAAGGCTGTGTGCTGCAATTAAGAAGCCTGCAGCTGGTGGCTTTACAAAATGGATTTACTTTAGCAGAGTGTAAAGACATCTCATTGCTACAAAGGGCCTTCCCATCACTACATTTGTTCTAAGTTTTACAGGAAGCAGACAGTCTGTTGTTTCAGGCTGTCCCATAGTAGGCAAGTTGTCCTTTCATGAAATCAGTGCCAGGTAAATACAGAAGCATGAGAGGGAAATGGTGTTCAGCCTCTGTGGTTTCCACCTGATCCAACTGCAAGTGCTCACCAGTTAAACCAGGGGATGACATTCGAAGCCAGTGGGCAACTCCAGAAGCTCTGGGCACAAGGTGCCGTAAATGAGATACCTGCTGAGAGTTGGACTTGATGATCTTAAAGGTCTTTCCCACCCTAGTTGATCCTGTGATTCTAGGAGGAGACAGCAGTGATGGTGAGAAGAGAAGCTTGTCACTGAGCACCAGCACCAGCATTAGCAGCTTTGCACACTTCACTAAGCAGTGACAAAGACTTTTTTTCTAGAGGGAACACCACCAAACTTTCCCATTCTAATAGATACTTCTTGCAGTGTGCAGCCAGCAGCAGCAACAGGTCTCAAGCAAACCTTAACCTATCCATCCCTTTGAAAAGTGTATACCAGAAACATTAACATAGGGGAGCTGATGTGGGAGGATCTGGTAAACCATCCTAACCCAATCGCTACCACCAGTACTGATGCTGGGAGAAAGCTGGTTTACTTCACTGTTGCACCAGTAATGTGTAACATCTCAACCAGTAACATCAGGCTCTCAAAGGCTTTTAGTAAATCAGTGCCTTCAAGAATGATAAATTAAGGCCGTTCAGGTTTAACAGATCTATATACAGAAATATGTTCAGTCCCATAAGCCATGCTAATGGGCTAAATGCTGAAATCTTAGTCTGACCCTAACAAGGGTCATCTTAGTGACCTGTGACCACTGGGACTTCATAGGAATGTGGCTTCATTTTCCCCAAAATGTCAGACTTCTTGTGTGCCTCTTAAAGAGGATATTTCAATATGAGTAATCCCAGGGCTGGGCGTGCAGTTTAGAACTGCTGCTATATATTACAAGTATATAACGTTAACTTCAGTGTAATGCCACAGATCTTTTTTCTTAGTGTCTCAGCATTTAACTAAAGCCAAGCAAATTTTTGCAGGCAGAGAGTTTTGTTTCCCATTTCAGAAAGAAATCCAGTTTGGAGCGAAGTGGGAACTCTTCATTAATCAAAACATGCCATTGTAATACGGGCAAAATAAATGCTCTTATGTACTGAGATGGCATTTACAGAATTCAATTTATAATCTTGAAAATGAAAAAACACCATCCTGAAAACCAGAATTCAATGAAATGCAAAATATCTGATCTGAATTTTGATAAACTTGGAGAAAATGTTCTGGGGAGGGGACACAGTTTGAAACATCGCTGGCTGCTCTGGCAGTTCTTTGGTGGACTGAAAAATGGGTTATTCACAGGCCTCCCCTTTCTAACTAGCTGAGAGAATATCTGTTGACTGTTTTTCAAACCTACCCTCATGGCTTTATGTTTAAATGCTGTTTCCCAGTTTTTGTGTCCAGGCCATCATATTTTCCAGGTCCCTTTGAATTCAGACACATCTGGACTTAGGCAAACCTCCTTCATTTATTTTCGCTCTGGACTTGCTGAGCCATGCCAGGGTTTTTTGTGAGCGTGTGTGTGATTTCAGGCTCCAAGTCTGCAAGTGCCGAGCGTCCTCAGCATCCGCCCAAGGCTTGTGACTCCCCGTGGCACTTGGGGATCGACTCTTGATGCTGTATCACTGAGTTTCCCCACAAAAATCTTGCCCTCAGCCTGCAGGCAGAGGCAGGCAAGCGGAGAGAGCCGGACCCCAGGTCAGGCCAGCTCCCTCATTAGGTGCAGTTAATGCAAGCGCTTCATTTTAAGCATGTCCTGGTGCAGATCTGATTTTAGGCATGTGCTTAAGGACTTTGGTGAATCAAGGCTTGAGGCTTCTCAGGACAGGGCTGTTCTCCCAGCAGTGCTGGGCACTAGCACAGTGGGAAATCGGTTTTTGTCCAGGTTGATCATGATCCAAGTCACAATAAGAGCTTGCAAGCAGCAGAAAAACCAGTGCAGTCCCTCAGCTGTCCCCAAGGTGCATTAGTTTGTGAGTCCAGAGGGCTGTAGGTAGTAATCCTATTTATCACAAATGACAAGGCCTTGGAGAAGGACTCAGAGGGAGGTGTCAGCCGCCCTCACTTGCACTTGACCCTGGTATGGGATGGACCTGTGCCCACCTGGCAGAGCGGCTTCTGCCTCCATGCTAGTCCATGGCTTTGGGCTCAGAGCTATGCATATAAAAACAACAGCTAATAAATAAAGTGTTTGCTATTTCTTTGGCAAAAAGAGGAAAAGCTACAAAGAAAACACCTACAATAGGTTTTTTTTTCACATGGTTGGATGGGAGCTGAAGGTCTATCACAAAGACGCTTCTTTGGCTTTGATTTGACAGTAGATTTCAGTCGGTCCAATGGAATTTTAATGCTATGGCCAAATATAACATCCAATAATGAAAAACTTCAATGGTAAACATTAACACAAACATGCATCGAGTATATTAAGCATCTTTTAGAATGCAGCAGGCCAAATCTGGAAATTGGGAACAGGTCCCTGAGCTGGCACATTATAAAAGCAGGCTTCAGTTTGCCATCTCCAGGACCTGTCGATGGATTACAGTGCATATCTGAGTTAGGCTCCATTATGTGTTTAGGTTAAACTCTGTGTAGCATTGATTCAGTTATTTATTTTGGAAACAAGGGGCCAGTGTTCCAACACGGGTGCCTAAATGGGATGTCCGTGTAGCCCAAATCTGCACTGAAGGGGGGACTAAGTGCTTATTTTGTAAGTCTGGCTACTGAGGCCAGCAGCTGAGCCCAAGCCTTGCAAAGCCAGCGTTGAAAACACAACCAGCTCTTTCAAAACTTGGGGCCTGCAGCATGTGGGTTTTTCAACAGTGCAGAATCCCCTGCACTCCCACAGGGTGCAGGGGTGAGGACCACAGGCAGCGAGTCCCAGCCCCAGAACTATAGACATTGCCTCTGACCTATAGACTGACCGGATCACCCACTTGTTTAAGTGTGCCACACCAAAACAAGCCCAAAACCTGCCACATCTCAAGGTCTGTTCCAGCTGAAGTGGATTAATTTCTTTCTCTTTGACTGCCTAGACTTTAAAAGGTTGCTACCACGCACCAGTGGCTACAAAGCATTAGTTACGGGCTTGGCTGTCCTGTTTTGGGGGACACTGCATGGCTTTTGGGAGTCTGATGTTGGCAAAACGCACTGGATTGAGGAGTGATGCTTCTGCTCTTCCCAGTAAGTAAACCATAAAAAATACAATAAACGTGCTCTGTGGAACAGTCTCTGCCATTACAGTAATTTCTTAGCTATAGAACCCATTCATGCGTGAACCCCCATAGCATGCAAAGGCACATACTGTCGCCTGAGCATTATATCCTTCTGCAGGCAACTGGGCTATATCCCAAATGCCAGCTTCCAGCGGGGTTGTTTTCCCCACTTTGATTTATAATTACTGATCACATGGGAGGATGGAGAGGAAAGGCTCAAGCTCTTTTTTTTTTTTTGTTCCTTGTTTAATAATTTAATTTGCATTCTGATCTTCAAATCCCAATAGCATCATGTGAAGTAGAGAAACTCGGCAGGGGAGGGGGGAGGAGGGATAGAGGAGAGAGCCAGGGCTTTCTATTTCCATATGGTGAGCCTCTCCTCCTCGCGATCACAGCTTGTCATCTGTCTTCTTTTAAACTTCAGATCCCCTGTAAAAATCTTCCCAGCAAAGAATGGGCCATAAATGTGTCAGAAAGTCAGTCCAAGTGAAGAGATTACCATGGGTAATCGCAAAGCATGATTTCATTAGAGGATTTCTTTACACATGGGCATGGACATAAGAGTAACCCGAGCCACGGGAACCGTGTGTTTCTGAAGTAGGGCACAGTGGCAGGAGTGTTATTAATATTCTGGGGAGGTAAGTCTGTATATATGATATTCTCTTATACTCTTCTTTCATTTACTTGGCAGGCAAAATGATACATGCTTTTCTTGAAGTCTAGTTGTGGTCATGTTAAATGGTCAGATTAAATGACCACCTTGATTTACCTCGTTTTAAATAGATAATCACAGAATCATAGAGTCCTAGAATGGGACCTCAAAGCTCATCCAGTTCCATCCCCCTGCACAAGCAGGGACACATTCCACTAGAGCAGGCTGCTCCAAGCCTGTCCAACCTGGCCTTGAACACTGCCAGGGATGGGATATTGATGGGTGGCACAGCAGAGCTACCAGCGCTGTGTCACCCTGCCAGGGACTGCTCAGTGTTAGCAACCCCCAGCAGAAGGAAGGAAATCGATCTAGTTCAGAGGCTTTCAGCAGAGTGCAAGTCTTGTCACCTCCTGATGTACAGCCATGGGGGAGCAGAATAACACATTGCACCTGGTGGTTCTGTGGCCTTAATGCTGCTCACATGCGATGCTTCTGAACTTCTTTCTTTATTGAGTTACTTTCATGCGAACTGTACCTCAACAAAAATAAGTTAATAGTTTGTAACGTGACTCAGTGTAATGCAAGCAGCTCCAGAGTGGGTTCACATGCATGCCTCATGCAGCGGGGTTGCTCGCTCTAATGGCAGGGACAGCGTTGGCTACAGGTCATTTGTCATGGAAACTCTGACATTGTCAAACAGAAGGATTTCTGCAGGAAAGCCTTGCTTTCCTCCTGTGGCTAAGAAAGGTCTGCTCTTGCAGAAGTGGTTTGCGTTGGTGGTGGGGCCGTAGTGCCATGGGCCAGGTCGGGTAGCTGGGGAGTGACAGTGGGGTGCACAGCCAGAGACCTTAGCAGCTGTGCCACAAACATGGCCCAGGCTGGTGTGACCAGGTCCACTTCTGTAAGGAGGTGAATAGGTCATTAGAAACTCATATGGGAGCTGCTGAGCTGAGTCAAGGTGTGCATCTGATTTTAGCTATATGATTGGCTGCTGTAGGTCCCCATATAATGGCACAGCCAAAACATGTCTTTGTGCCCCACAGAAGACTCCAGAACAGAGCCATCACTTCTTTTTCTCCTTGTCTCATGGGTACATTGCAGACCCAGAAGACAACATGGTCTAGTGGAAGTTGTCTCTGCCCATGGCAGAGGGGTGGAACTGCATCATCTTTAAGGTCTCAGCTCAAACCCTTCTGTGATTCTAAGCATCTACAAAGACAGAAGCAGAAGGTTCAGCAGAGCCAGCGGTGGCTCAGTCCCTCCATGTGAGATGTTGTGGATACAGAAGCTCCTGCTGAGAGCCTTCCACCTGCCACTGCTTCTGCCCTCCCAGCTCTCACTGAACCACACTGTCCCTGTAGCAGGTGCCTCTTTTTCCTTCCCTTCTGCACAGGCTCAGATGAAGATGTGCCACAGTACCTGCTGTGGGCAAACCCAGGTCTTCCACCTCTTAGAAACTACACTGGACCTACAGAAGTTAATGAGGAAACCAAGTGACCAGCCTGGACCAGCCCCGAAGCTTGGTCTGTGCCAGGGTTTCCCCATGTTACTGCTCTGTTCCGATGAAACATTATACAGAAAGATATAGGGAAAGCATTATGCTCACAGCCCTTGCCAACAAGTTATGTTTTAATGTAATTTAACTGTAATCTCAGAGTGTTTTTGTTAGCTATAATTAGTAAAATATGTCTGTTTTCTGTGTTCCTTGAAGACGTCTGAACTCCTGCCAGTTCCCTATAGTTTTCCTGACATGCAGTGTAACAAGCAGACCACCAAAATGTATTTACCAATAACTGTTTATTTACATTCCATGAAATCTAATAACATTTGCTGCCTTCATTCGGGATAAATGCTGGCCAAAGTGTAAAGCATAAAAAAATAAACACTGCCTTAATTTCTAACCCAGGCCACAGAATATTTGATTTGTGCTCAATTTGCCCTGCCTGTTAGCGTTTTGGCGTTCTGCTGCTTGCAAGTTGAAAAAATCCACCAAAAGAAGTTGAAAATGTTCTGTAATGGATCTTCCTGTTCAGTCCAAGCCCTTGCAGGGATTTCCTGGACATTTTATTTTTCATTTCTAAAGTCTGCACGAGGCTGGGGTTTTGTTTCTTTGTTTTCAGCTCTCGCAAGCATTTGAAACTGTATTGTAGAGAAAATGTCCAGGGCACTAAACAGCAACGGTGGTTGGTGTTGCACCAGTGCCAGTGTAAAGCGTTTCTCATTCTCCCGGAGTCATTGGCTTTGCTGGTGTAAAAATAATCAGAATTAGGTCTGTATCTTGTTACTAACCAAATCTGCTCTTGTTCAAGAAAGTGTAACTGAGGGCAGGATTGTCATCTCAAATCTTAAACAGGTTCCTCTCCTCCTGTATCTGGTTTTGGTTATATGACTACATGCTTTCTCAGAGCCCAGAAAATTCAGATGGTGCAGGGAGGAGAGGTCACATACAACAGCTGTGGGCGGTATCCACAGCTGGCAAAATCTGATGCAACCCTGTGCCTGTCAGTGGTGCGCGGCCCTGGCCCAGCTGAGGAGTGGGCTGGTGTTTCTGACAGGTTCTGCAACGCCAACGGGCTCACAAGCACTTGTCTCAAGAGCATTGCAGAAGCCAGATGCATGCAAAGGAGCTGGATGGGCTGTGGTGGGCTGCATGTGCCTGGTGGGTGCCAGACTTCCGTGCTGTCACTGGTCTGTTGTGCTAGAATCCAGGCAGAGCTGGGTAGAGCAGTGCACTTGCCGAGTTGAGCAGCAAGATGGGTTTAGAGGGAACTGGAGTTCACAAGTTGCCTGCACTGATCTGAGCAACTGCAGCCATGAAGAAGCTGAATCCCACCACATCCCCTCCCAGGGCAGAGCCCGGGCAGCCACAGCTGCAGGGTGCCTAAAGACCTCATACATTTGGCTGCTGTTGCTGCTCCTCAGCCGCTGTGCCAGCGCCCAGTGTCTGCTGCTGCTGAGCTTTGAGCTGTGCCTTGTGTGGGGAGCACAGAACCGGCACAGTGCTGCCCCACCGCTGCCCCACCACTCCAGCCAGTGCTGGGCTTTGCTGCTGCCTGAAGGACCTGTCTGTGCAAGTTCACCCATCCATCCCGGATCTGGAGTGCCCACCACACCATATAGAGAACATCTGTTTGTTAGGTCTGAGGCCTGAAAAATCTCGGTCATGATATGGAGAGGCAGCGCTGTGCCTTGAGTCATGACAGGGTGATCGTCCCTTTTCCTGGGGCACAGGGTCACTGCTGTGTCTTTGGAGAAACCAGCTCATAGAGGAGCCCTAAACCCCAAGTGAGACCATGGTGCTGATGCAGCTTTGGAGAGCTCATTTCTAAAGCTGCTCCCCAGAAGGTGATCTCCATCTTTCTTTACTTCTGACATACCTGCTATTTTGTTAACACAGAGGCCATTTGCACTTCTCTAGATGCTTTCAGTTAAGGAGCTCCTTACACTGAACTTAAGGAATTGAGCTTCAGATTGTCCAGGAAATGCTGAGCAGCTCCATTCTGTGACAGAGATCATAGGAGACCTTCTCAGCTACATGTTTCCAAACTGCCTTGGGCTCTCTTGTCTCTGTACTCACTTAAATTGAGGGTAAAACTTTTCCTGCCTTCACATGAGAGCAAAATTTCAAAGATTTTGGAGGGCTTCCTTGAAAACTTTGGGCTCAAAGGTAATAAAAGTGAAATTTAAAATCCAGTCCAAGCAAAACCAGATGCTGGTGCGCGATGAGGACCCTGCCCTCTTAGCATCTCCTTCTGAACACGGCAGTGGTGGTGCAGTGCTTCATTCCCCTGACAAATTGCCCATCTCCCCAGGCTCCTGGCAAAGCTCAAGTATAAATCCTTTGGGATAATTAATAAAAAAAAAAGTATGAAAATTACAGGTTATCCATTTTTGGCTTTTCTTTGATTGCATTTCTGGGTTCCTTGTCATTTTCTACATTCAGGTTTCCTGTGTGCAAGGCTCGTGTTGTAACTTGTGCAGTGGAGGCACAGAGGGAGAGGGGTTCAGAATGCATGAAAGAACCCAGAGAAGACTCCTCCTGCTGACCACACTCGACAGACAATGTGCGCCGCAGCATTCCTTCATTGTTCCGGTAGGATGCTCTGTAAATTGAGCTGTAAATAACTCTGTAAACTGTTTACTGCTAAAACCATGTTTCTGAAAGCAGAGAGCTTTCAAAAACTAGTGTGTAGAGTCACAGCATGATGTGGTGGGGATGGAGGTGAAATCAGCAAAGATGAGGTGAGCACATGTGGCTGGCCCTGCCCTTCCAGCACCTTCCTCACTGATCTTACAATCATTGAATTATAGAATGGTTTGTGTTGGAAGGGGCTTTAAAGCTCATCCAGCTCCAACCCCTGCCACAGGCAGGGACACCTTCCACTAGAGCAGCTTGCTCCAAGCCCCTGTGTCCAACCTGGCCTTGAACACTGCCAGGGATGGGGCAGCCACAGCTTCTCTGGGCACCCTGTGCCAGCGCCTCAGCACCCTCACAGGGAAGAGCTTCTGCCTAAGAGCTCATCTCAGTCTCCCCTCGGGCAGGTTAAAGCCATGAAACTCAGCTCAGTGCTGAGCGACCATGTGACCCAGCCACCAGCCAATCAACAGGGCTGATTTTGAATGTTAAACACTGCTATAAACCAGCTTGGGCAAGATAGAGGGAACGAATGTTTACCTGGCATAAATACTGGAAAGCAAGGAATAAGAGGGAGAAAATTGGGATGCGCTGACAGAAAGAAATAACCAGAGCAAAGTGGTTTTACCCATGTTTAGAAATAAGCCATTCTGCAGCAGCTGCTGGGCTTAGTGAAGATGTGGCTTCAGAGTGGGAGAGGAAATCACCTTAGGACTTTTGGACCACATGTAAGTTTTTGGAGGCAAAGGCTGAAAATAACAAACAAAACCAGCAGCACAGAATCCCTCAGTAGAAATGATATTTCCTTCATTGTGGTGGATGGATTCACATGGATATGACTGACCGCA